AGCCCTGAGACCTCAGAAGACCGACACCAACACCAAAAGCCGGGATGCACCGTTACGGTACGCAGGGGCCACAATATCCTTATACCAAGATCTGGCACCGTCGACACTTCAACGACGACGGGAGTGGAGGCCTATAACAGCAGCCCTACGAGAAGCAGGCCTGAAATACGCCTGGGGATTCCCCTTCAAGCTTATGGTATTCCGGGGAGACCGCTCACATATCCTGATGCCAGGAGGAGATCCCCAACGTTTCTTTAGGAACCTCGGCCTACAACCACCTCCCCGACTTCCAGATATCTCACTGTACCCTACCGAGCTTCAACAGTTACAGACAGAGTGGCAAGAAGTCGGAGCTAGAGGCCATCGCTGACGCACTGTGGGTATCGTATAATAAATACATCACACAACACCATCCACCGCCTTATACCTCATCTCACAATCCACACAGTTTGAACAGTTTAAACTATTGTTATACACCCCCTCCAAGGCTACACAGGGCATCCTTTTGGGAGGGATCCGAGGGCTCTCCCCTCTCTGGGCCGAAGGGTGGTATTTTTTCCTTTTTCGAAATCTGATTTGAACGCTCAGGAGATACACATCGAAACCTGCCCTACCTTGTCCCCCTCTTCAATTAATCCTCAACTCCCGTTTTAACCGTCCGCTCCAGCCAAGTCGCAAGGTTATCTTATATTGCAAGTCAGTGGCCTACTTTAAATTGTCGAGGAGGCTAATATGGGAGTGGGTCTTGCCCCCTCGCGACTTGCCTTGGGAGGGGTATGGGGGGTACCACAATGGGCCTCATGCAGCCCTTTACAGGACTCGACCCGACAACTGACCCCGCAGGCTGTGGGGGCCCCCGGGACTTTTGCCAGGATAGAGACCCATTGACACCCAGGCCCTGCGGGACCCAGACCCGCCAAAAATCTTTGGAGTGTAGGCCTGCACCAGACTGCATTATATCACCCGATTATAAGAAATGGAGGGAAGGCACCGGGAAGGAACTATATATATTTTTTTTTATTATTATTTATTTATTTTTTCTCAAAGTAATATTGCATGTCTCTATATATTCTGAAAGCTGTTAATATTGATACTCCTCTACCCGCCATACGATGGGCAAAGAGAAAAGAGGAGAAAAGAGAGGGGAGGGGGGCGGGAGGAGGGGAGGGGAAGGTGTTTTGATGTTTTATGCATATGTAATGTTATGATTGTGTGGATTAGACAGATAGAGGAGACAATCGTTATGGTTAACTACACTTTACCCGAGTTATAATCACCCCATGCTCTTAGCCATGTCGGGGACTACTGTTAGCACTATGTAAAACTCTACCGCTGTAATGATATCCACAATTTCCCCGCAGACAGTACTTGGAGGAGGCGGAGGCTAGATGGGGGACCCGGGACCACTCCGCTCCCACCGATGCCCATGCGACCCGGGGGGCCGCTACTACCCTCAATATGCGTACAGACGCATGGGCACCTTGGGACCCCTCCCCCGTCCCCGTGGCTTTCTCCGAGATACTTCCCGCAACGCTCTATCTATAAGGCAGGCTCCCAACATCTATAACCCCTGTTGCTACATACATATAGCAGACAATGAGGGAGACCGTGCATCTCTACAAAATTTTCATACACACAAAAAAAAAAAAAAAAAAGAGAAAAAGGGAAAAAAAATAAACCTAAAAAATAAATAAATAAATATTTATCTTCTAGTACCACTATGACGCTGAATCCGTCCTCGGCCCCCTTTGGGTTTATCCTCCTGATCACCCGCCTGGGAACCCTCCCTACATAGGAGGCACCCCGACAGGAACCAGGATAAATCGGTTATACCCTCACATGTATGACTACACTGATACTACCAACCCATGCTCTCACGACGCCAACATCACACAATAGACGCACAGGATTGAAACGGTCAAGGCAGCACTTGCTATAGATATCTACACCTTACCACATGGAGGAGGAAAAGGGGGGGGTGGACGGTTAAACACCTTGGGAAGAGGTACCGGACACTTACAACACGACCCCATTGACTGACTGCCTGAGAGATAAAGTAGGAACTGGAAGGTCCCACCCTGGGAGAGGGGGGGGTACGGGGAACAAAGGGGGAGGGGACTTTGCTGCCTGCGCCCCCAAATATCCTCACATTAATAACCGGGAAAGACTGATAGAGGGGACCCGATGGGACAAACCCCTAGACATATACTAACTCGGATTAGAGAAATAAGAGGTCAAATCAAATTGTGTAGGCGCACACGTGACGGAACCCACGAATCCCCAATCCCTTCTTCCGTTGATCGTGGACGGGATGAAGGAACATGCTCCCAAAAAGACCTTGGCAAAGAGTAAGACCAGAGTCTCTCCATTCATTCATCTGACTCGAATCGGATGTCTTTTTTCTTCTTCTTCTTCACTATCCTCTTTTCCCTCCTTCTTTTGTGTGGTGCGACCTGGGGGAGCGACGGAGGCGGGGGGGTACCTGGGGGGACGTGGGACATGGCCCTGAGCCAAGCGTGGACGGACCCAGGTTCCCGGACGGCTATAACAGACCCAAACAAACACGTCGCGATGATTAAAATCACGACATTGAATGTAAAAGGCATTAATGCCCCTAAGAAGCGCCGCCTTATGTTTAAAGAATTAAAGAGATTAAAGACGGACATTGCATATATCCAGGAAACCCACCTCTCGAAACAAGCCAATGTAAACCTAAAAGACCATACCTTTCGGGGATCATACGAAGCAAGATCGCAATGCAAATGCAACGGAGTGGCTATTCTGATCAGGAACAGCTGCCCGTTTCGGAAGACAACCCAAGAAACAGACCCAGAAGGCCGTTACACTATAGTATCGGGCATATTATACTCACATACCATACACCTGATTAACGTGTATGCCCCAAACCAACCAGACCCCTCGTTCTGGACCACCCTCCGAGAGAAAATCTCCTTACTTCCACATGGCATGGTCTATATGGGAGGAGACTTCAACGCTACCCCATGCCCGGCAGCGGACAGGAGCACTAAAGACGGAATACCGAGATCCCACGGGAGAGGTGGACAAGACCGACTGCTCAAAACATTTATACTAGACACGGGCCTAACGGATGTATGGCGAGCACACCACCCAGGGGACAGGGACTACTTCTTCTATTCAACACCTCATGGTACATACTCCAGGATAGATTTATTCCTAACTAACGCGACAGGCATGCCCAGGATTACAGGCTCTACGATTGGCAATATATCATGGTCGGACCATGCGGATGTGTCCGTTACATTGGGCAACTTGTGTATGGCCTCGCCATGGACGTGGAGATTAAACACATCGCCACTACGGGACCCGGAGCTAAAAGAACAGATACGGACTGAAATAGTGGAATACTTTACCACAAACAACACCCCAGATGTCAGCGCAGGGTCAATATGGGCGGCCCATAAGGCTGTCATAAGAGGGACCCTCATAAAACTAGCCACTAGGAAGAAGAAGATGAAGCATAAGCAATTGGATACCCTGTTGGATCAATTAAGGAATCTTGAACAGAAACATCAAGCAACACCCGACAATGAGACCTATAAGAAACTGGTAGCGGTTTGGAGGGACATCCGCACGCTACTGCTGGACGATACCGCTCAATCCATGATCTGGACGAAACGGACCTTCTACGAGAAATCCAATAAGATGGACTCACTTCTAGCCCGAACATTGCGACCTAGACAAGAACGATCCCACATCACGGCCATCAAACATCCGGATTGTACGACGAAATCAAGGCCAGATGAGATAGCCAAAGTCTTTGAGGACTTTTACAAAAAACTATACAACCACACACCAGACGCACACACTCCTGATGGAAGTGATGAAGACCATATAAACAGCTACTTAAATGACCTTGGGCTGCCCAAACTTGGGAGAGAAGCGGTGACCAATCTGACATCCGAAATTACAGAGGAAGAAGTACATAGAGCCATATCTACCTTGAAAGGTAACAAGGCTCCAGGACCGGATGGGTTCGAAGGTACATACTACAAGACCTTCAAAGAAGAACTTACACCCCAACTAATGAAACTCTTTGACTACATGAAACAGGGGGGACTCCTCCCTCCAGACATGACCCTAGCTACCATAGTATTGATACCTAAACCTGACAAAGACACGCTCCACCCAGAAAACTACAGACCCATATCACTGATTAACCAAGATCTAAAAATATTAGCAAAAATACAAGCTGACAGATTGAATCCGCTACTCAACTCACTCATACATGCCGACCAAGTAGGCTTTATTCAGGGCAGACAGCTGTTCGAGAATACCAGAAGGAATATCGACCTAATCTGGAAACAAGTGACATCTAGTATCCCTACCTTAGTGGTCTCTATAGATGCGGAAAAGGCCTTTGATAGGGTGAGATGGCAATTCCTCTTCTCGGTACTGAACCACCTGGGGTTCCCGGAAGAATTTATAACTACTACAAAAGCAATGTACCATGACGTGAGAGCACAGATACAGATTACTGGTGCCCCGATGACACCTTTCCGACTCTACAACGGCACTAGGCAGGGGTGCCCACTTTCCCCACTCCTGTTTGTACTATCACTCGAGCCTTTGATGCAAGCGATCAGACAACATCCAGATATTCGAGGAGTTCGGGTAGGAGACAAAAAGTTTACAGTCTCAGCATACGCGGACGACATTCTTCTGACCGTCACGAACCCCTCGACGTCCGTGGCGGCCCTCCAGGACGTTATCAAGGACTACGGGGAATGGTCTGGTTATAAGGCCAATATGCAAAAATCTAGCTCTATGCCTATTGGCATGACAGAGGTAGAAATAAATCAAATACAGCGGACCTACCGCATCAGGATGGAAAGAGAGTCTATGAAATATCTGGGTATACACCTAACTACAGACCCGACACGCCTCCACTCCGAGAACTATGGCCCCCTAATCAGGAAGTTGATGGGAGACTTAGAAAGGTGGATTGATAAGCCCATCTCCTGGATAGGACGAATTAACTCTGTTAAAATGAACGTCCTCCCGAGGATTTTATTCTTGTTCCAAGCTCTCCCAGTCCACGTCACCAAAGCACAACTGAACCCGCTACAAGGGTCGATAGCTGACTTCATATGGCAGAACAAGAGGCATAGGATATCAAGACAGATGCTCTATAGACGAAAAGAAAGAGGGGCGCTGGGCCTCCCAAATCTATACTTCTATTATCTTGCAGCTCAACTAACACAGGTAGCTATGTGGCATTCCCCTCCGGAAGAGCGGAGATGGGTCGAGATAGAATCCATGATGGTGGGATGGGACATCCCCCAGTTCACTATGTGGACCCGAAAGATTATCGACCCTTGATACGGGTGACTTGCCCGTCCATACTTAATTCGCTCCAAATATGGGACAAAAACAGAACCAAGTATGGACTGGCGACATCCCCCTCTCCATTGACTCCAATTCTACGATATAGAGAGTTCCAGCCTGGTATGGCCCCCAGAGATTTCCGAAACATGGAAAGAACGGGACTACAACGGATCCATCAATTATACCATAATGGGAACTTAATCCAATTTGCGGACCTTCAACAAGATAACCACCTAACTCCCGCAGACTTCTTTAGATATATACAGATTCGAGACTTCGCTAGGAAACCACATATAAAGGCTGCAGCTCAAGTAAATATGACGTTCTACGAGAAACTATGCCTTCACGAAAGGACCCCCAAGGGCATGATAACCCTAATGTACGCCCACCTTAGCACAGAAACCAAAGAATGGGGTCGACTATCTTACACCGACCAATGGGAGATAGAACTAGGAGAAGAACTAGAAGGCATCGAATGGCAAGAAATTTGGGAAGCAAATAAAAATGCCTCCATATGTGTCACGCTACAGGAACAGACGTGGAAGACCATGTTTAGATGGTACACAACCCCCGTAAAACTTTATAAAATGCATAAAATGTACAACGATGATTGTGGAGCCCGAGGTACATACCTTCACATGTGGTGGGGATGCCCAAAACTTCTTGGATTTTGGAAAGAGACAGAAAACTTACTGAAACAAACATTTAACAAACCCCTGCCCAGAGATCCATGGGTATACCTCTTAAACAGGTCGGTAGACGGATGGACCAATAGAGAACAGAAACTAGTCCATAAAATAACTATAAGCGCAAGAAAAACAATTGCGACGGGATGGCTTTCACCAGATGCACCTGAGTTCCCTGGAGTGGTATCCAGGATCCGCGAATGTAGGATTATGGACGACTTAACAGCCAGAGTGAAGGGATCGACAGAAACATTCCTAAAACTCTGGGAACCGTGGGATAATAGTGTCGTGGGTTCTAGAGAGGACAGATAGGATTGAACGAAAGATGTAAAGGGGTCCTTACAGTAAAGCTAAACCAGTAGCGGAGTCCTCCTCCGACCCGAGGATCTATTCGACACACTTGGCATAGGGACATCTGGCTGAGCCTGCTGTCCCCCCCCCCTTCGGATGTCATCCCTTGAAGTCCTTTCCTCGCCGCCTCTGGGTCACCGCATTCACCACATAATGCTTCTTTACTTTATACTATTTTCTCTTTCTCTTTCTCAGTCTCCCTTTTTCTAATTCCTTAATTTTTCTCCTCCCGCACCTGTACGGGAAAAATCAATTTCTTATTCGATAATTACTCTGCATACCAACCTCCTCAGACAAGGTCAACTTAACGAACGTAATGGGAACCCTAGCAATCCCAGATAGACCTCAGACTATTAATCCTATAAATATATCTAAGGACCTGAAAACATCAAACTACAGATCGGATACTGACAATACAGATATACCAATAACGGCACAAGACTTACACGACATATGAAACATTATATAGCTCATCGGTAGGCCTCAATTTGCCGCTGTGTCAGGGACACTTCCCTTCCACACCTAGGTATTCCAGTCAAACCGATAAAATGTACTGAGGAATTATATTATTAAAAATCCTTCAAAGAGGGCAACCCCTCATGGTTCCGCTAAATATGAACACATATTGTAAAGATTGAATT